TATGTCAGTAAGCACAGGAGCCTTGCTAGGCTTGTGAAAGTCTTACTAAAACAACAATCCAAAATGCAATGACCACTCCTTGCTCCTGCCTATGCTTCTTCAGGGTTCTTTGGAGTTGCATACCAGAGCTGGTTTGCTAATCTGCTGCTTGCTCTCCTTACAAAAGGAGTCACTCTTGGGGGAAGACAGAGGCCAAGAAAACATCAAGTAAGCACAGGAGCCTTGCTAGGCTTGTGAAAGTCTTACTAAAACAACAATCCAAAATGCAATGACCACTCCTTGCTCCTGCCTATGCTTCTTCAGGGTTCTTTGGAGTTGCATACCAGAGCTGGTTTGCTAATCTGCTGCTTGCTCTCCTTACAAAAGGAGTCACTCTTGGGGGAAGACAGAGGCCAAGAAAACATCAAGCAGAAGAGGGAAAGAAAGGGGCATGGGGCTGAAATAAGAGAAAAAAACCTCTTTAACATATGTGGGATAACTATTTTGTTTCAGATGTCACCTTCCCATAGTACAATGCTCACTGGCATTTTGCAGGGAGAGCTGCAAAGCCTCAGGGCATTGCTCTGGGGTTGACTTCCAGAAAACACAGGGCTAGGCTGACTAGTCCAACAAAAAACATCATGTTTATCTCTGGGGAATGCTGGCAGCCAAAACATGTTGCAAAGGAGAGAGTTTGCACAACAGTGCCGTTAACTCTAAACCCATCATTTTTCCTGGACAGAAAAAAAACCCAGTGGTGTTTTGGTTGTTGAGGGTTTTCTTTCTTGTGACAAAGTCCCTGCAGACCCTGGCATGCTCCCTGTGGTTTTGCTGCCTGCCAACTGTTGGGGCAGTTGGGAAACATTTCATCCTCTCCTGCCCCGCAAGGTGTCAGTCCCCAGGGGCCTCTGTGTTGCCCATGAGGTTGTCCTCTGTGATCTGCAGGGTGCTGGGGAGGTGCAGAAGGTTACAGGTACCCACCTTTTCACATCTACATTGTGCTAGGACACTGGCCAGGCAGTTACCTTCAAGTCACCTTTAAGAAAAAGCAGATTAAGATATAGTGTAAACACATAGAATCATAGAACTTTAGGGGCTGGAATGGAGCTCAGGGATCATCCAGGCCCAACCCCCTGCCCTGGGCAGGGACACCTCCCACCACAACAGGTTGCTCAAGGCTTCATCCAACCTGGCTGTGAACACTGCCAGGGTTGGGGCAGCCACAGCCTCCCTGGGCAACCTGGGCCAGTGTCTCACCACCCTCACAGGGAAAAGTTCTTCCTAAGATCTAACCTAAATTTCCCCTCCTTCAATTTGAATCCATTTCCCCTTGTCCTGTCCCTGCAGCTCCTAACACAGAGTCCCTCTGCAGCTTCCCTGGAGCCCCTTCAGCTCCTGGAAGGTGCTCTGAGGTCTAATGTACTTGGAGTGCCCAAAATTATAACACACTGTGGTTGTTTCTTGCAGAAGACAAAGCTAAAGAAATGCATGGAAAACTTCCCTTGCTGGTGCTAAGAGTTAATCTAGAAACTCCCTTCCCTGCCTTGGTAGTCAGCTGATGACTTCTGGATGTTTTCCTGACACACCTTGCCAAGGAATCTGCCTGCCCTGAGTTTAGGGTTGCATTAAACTGAACTGCTAATGGTCCTGGAGGGGATTGCTGCTGCTTTTGTGTTTTCCTTTTCTAATTAATCTCCTTGTAGCCCTTAAGGGACTCTGAACAGATTGAATAGAACTCCCTTATCGCCTCTCCTCTTCCTTCACCCTGCTCTATAAAGGAAACAAAATGAACACCTAATTACTGAGCTGCTTGTCATGTGTTTGTATATTAGCACTAGTGCAGCTGAAGGTGAAGTCTGATGTGAAAAGTAGCTCAGAAATAAACACTGGCAGGTCTGTGTCAGGCCACTGAGCTGACACTGGCAGCACTCCCTGGCCACTCCACAGCTCCTTATCTTTCTGATTTGAGTGGTGTTTCACTTCAGAAGGCTCCACCTACCCACTTGTTTCAGGTAACAAATTTAACACAGTGTAATTACTGGGATTCTTGATAAAAAGAGTCAACCAGCTTCAGTACCTGCAAATTCTTGCTGGCTCCAGGCTGAGACCAACTAGCCTCATAATGAGGTGCTTTGGTCAGTGGATGTGGGTCTTCTAGGGCAGGGGAAAAAAAGTGCAAAACTGTCTTCTAGGTCTGTTGTGATGCTCATCCTTAGAGAGTGTTGCTGCTACAGATGAAGGGAAAGTGAGAGGACTTAAAGAGGTTCCTGGGAGAAGAACCCAAAGGGGGTCAAAGAGCAAGACCCAGAGACCCACACCAGAAAGTTGGTGATAGATGCAGAACAGGCATCTGTGTTTCACATTAGGCAAAACAAGTGTTTCTTGATGTGTTTATATCCATAGCTAGAGGGACCTAATCTCACCCCTCCTCCAAGGAAGGAAGGGCACACTCTGGAGCTATGGGGCTCAGGAGTGTGTCCCTGCCCAGGGCAAGGGGTTGGGACTAGATGATCTCTAAGCTCCATTCCAGTCCCTAAAATTCTATGATTCTTTCAATATACAAACACAATTAATATCTCTTTCTCAATCGGAGAGAGATCTTACCCTCTCTCCAGTGGTTTGTGTCTCTCACTGATGAATCTGAAAGGAAATGCAAAATGAAAAGAAGTCCTGGCTGTTACTTTTAGCATTTGTCTGGCAACCACCACATTTTATTATTTCAGTGAAGAGAAAATTCCATGCTCTCATGTGGAGGAATCTGCTAACGAAAACAAAGGAAAGAAAAGAAACCACTGGATTTATCTCATTAAAATCTCTCACAGAGCTCTGTTGTCCTTACAGGAATGGTCACAGAGCACAGGGCTTTAGGGTCTAACACAACCTCCTTTCACATTCAGCTTTTGCACATTTTTCCCCTCCCCAAGTTTTATTAGCTGGTTTAATATGAGCTATTACTTCTTCCTGCAAACCTCATCTCACATTGGAATTAAGGGACATGCCAATAAAGCCACGGGATATGCTGAAGGGTTCAATGCAGCAGGAACGAGGTATGCACATCAGGGGTGAGACTGGAAATCCAGCAGCAAACTCCAGAAGTGAGAGGCAGCTGGGAATAAAAGAGCAAATGGTCTGGAAAGGAAGATCTGTGTAAATCTGTGCAGGAAAGCAGGGAGAAAAGACATGAGGGCATCAGGTAGTGGCTGTTGGAAAGAGCCTGCAGCAAATGATGAAGGACTTGGTGTTCAGTGCTGGGATGGACAAGAAGAGGCAGTCAGAGCTGTGTGCTGTGCTCTTCAGGGTGTCTCAGGCCTGGAGTCCTGCCAGTGCTCCTGTGACTGTTGCTAGGGAAGCACCAGCAGTCTTTTTCCAAGGGAAGGAGATTAAAATAGCTGCGTATTTCTGCTCCGAAAAGTCACTCCGGATACACCCTCCTCTCATTCTGTCTGCTCCCTGTTTGTTTTTTTTTGTAGTAGTGGTATTGTGTTGGAAAATAGCTGTTAAATTGCCTCATTGCTTGTGTTAGGAGCAGTGTCTGCTCCAGCCTCCTCTGTGCTGTGCTGATGTGCTGTTGTCTTCTGTGCTCAACAGGTACCTCTGTCCCCAGTGGCCTTCAGTGCTGCACCTCCTCCTCAGATCCTGTACAACCCTGCCCAGCAGATCCTGACCTATGCTGGCTTCTGCCCTTCTGCAGCTATTTCCACATATCCATCCTACCCATTGCCTCTTCAGGTACAGTACAAATTGTCATCTTTTTTTCTCACTCCATCAGAAAAGCATAAGCTGCTGCTCACTATGAACTTTACTCCTAGGGGTTTGAACCAAGGCAAGGAAGTTGCATCCCAACTGACAGGTTTCTCTCTGGGATGACTTTGTGCCTAGTTTTCAGGTGTATTCTCAGACCTCAGGCTTACTTGGGTGGTCCTTTGGACTCCATCTGCTGCTCAGGAATCCTAGTGTGGGATTCAGGCTGTGTATGAGCATTTATGGAGGTGAACACAGCTGCAAGATAAAGCAGCAAGAGAGGCATTGGGGAAGCCAAAGGAAGCATTTGATACAGGACTTGGCAGACAAACTTGCACAGCTTTGCCCACCTTGCTCTTAATAGGAGACAAGTTTATTAGGACTCATCAGAAGACAAGAAAGGGGAGGAAATAAGAGGTCTGTGAAACTGAGCAACATAGAAAGGACTGTGGATGGATATTAGTGATAATAGCACACAAAATTTTGGTTGCCTCACTAAAGCTGTTAAATAATGGCAAGATAAGCCAGAAATAGGAAGTGGTTTTATACACAAGAGAAGGTTCATATGCCCCAGGATGTTGTGGAGGAGTATAAATGAGGGGTTAGGGATTCAGGTGTCACTTGCAGCCCCCCAGGTGCCCAGATATCTGAGAGCCACAAGAACCAACAGGAGTTCAACAGAAAATGGGGCTCTTTTGATTTCAGCTTCCTATGAGCATCTGCCACAGGCCACCACTGGTAGAGCACAGGTACAGAGCTGCTGTGGCAGCTGGCAGAGCTTGGTGAGCCTTACTGACCAGAGGCAGGAAGGAAAGTTGCCAGAGGTGAGGCTCTTGCCTCTTGCAGGAGGACATACAGTATGAGCTGAGTCAGCACTGAACGGAAATGTCTCCTTCAGAAGACTGAGGTGTAAGTCATGTTCCAAGCTGTGCTGTGTCCAGCAGAGCTGGCCTGGAAAATGCTGAGTGGTCACAGAATCACAGAATAATCAGAGCTGGAAGGGACCCTTGAGGATCATCCAGTCCAACCCCTGACCCTGCACAGGACATCCCTGACCATCACACCCTGTGCCTGAGAGCATTGGCCAAACACCTCTGGAGCTCTGTCAGCCTTGGGGCTGTGCCCACTGCCCTGGGAGCTGTTCAGTGCCCAAACACCTCTGGGGGAAGAACCATTTGCTAATCTCCAGCCTAACCCTCCCCTGGCACAACTTCAGCCCATTCCCTGGGTCCTGAGGGATGATGACAATGGGGTTTGCTTTCTCCCCTTCCACCCACCCAAAGTGAGGTGACACACATAGGGTAAGCTGGTAAATAACTGAATCATTGAAGCTTTTACATCTATTAAAGGACAGTAAGACTGTTTTGTTCCATCTCATGGCTTGTACTTTGGCTGTGCAGTGCTTGACCTATGGGTACTACAAGTTTTGCAATCCTTCTTAATTGAAAACACTGCACATTTAGCATGAACAGAGCAGTGGACCTGCACCCCACAGCCTCCTGGGGAGGTTGGACAAATGCAGGACAACCTGCTACTTGCCAGGAGGGTTTGACCCAGGGCAGCAGCCCCTGCTCATCTGGAGACCAATGGAGAAGCCAAGCACTGTGGCATGAGGTCTGCCAGCTCTGGGGAGGTCTGAGGTGCCATTGTCCAAGGGCCAGCCCTGGTATCAGCCTTCTAGATCTAGATCTTCTAGATTTTTTTTTAGCAGCATTTAACTGCCCAAATTTTTCATTTCCCTTGAAAAGGATCCAAGATTTTTGTTTAGGTTCTTAAATTCCAGGCACTTAAAGTTCACTTAAAGCCTGAACCTGAGAGGAACTGAGCCCAACTCTTCAGTTGAAGCCCACCAACTGGCATGTGCTGGCATGTGAGGAGTGAAATCTTGACCCTCTTGACAAAACATGACAAAACTTGGCTTGAAGCACCGGTGGATTTTATCCAGAATATTAGTCCCTATAAGCATTCTTTTGCCTTAACAAACTCGGCTTGTTCCTGAGCATAGGCATCTTCCTAAGCTCTATTTTTTGTGCCTTTCAGCCCACTATAGCTGAGACAGCCAAAGGGAAAGACCTACAGGGAAACACCTGTAAAATTCTCTCTTAAGAGGAGTCTGCATTTGGCAAAGGAACAAGACCTTGCAAAGGAACAAGACCTTGCGTTTATGCAAGTATTATTACTGAGATTAATTACATCTGAGCTAATTAAAATTTCACAGGGTTGTCTGGAAATGAGCAGCTACACATAACCTAATCAGCCAGTCAGGTGCTCTGCCTCACCCAGGATGCCAGAGCATCTTTTGCTGCAGAAACTCCTGTTCTGCTCTGTTGCCTAGCTGTGTGTTCCATGCCTATTAAAAATGACTTGGGTTGCAAGTGGAATGTGTTTAGTTTCACTAGCTACCATCATTGCTACACTGAAGCAGGTGCTGTAGAACTAAAGTGAATGTTGTGCTGCAGTGCATGAGAAATTTAATCATGTACTTAGTATATAACACTTACCTGGCAAACAACACAGAGCTGCAATGGGGTTGTAATCCTTTACTGAAGAAGGTGTTTTTCTTTGTCTACCTACAGCCTGCCAGCAATTTCCCAGGAACATCATCTACTGACATTTCTTTGTCAGAAGAAACTCAGCCTCCATCTCAGTCCAGCTCCAGCTATGGTCTTCCCCCGAACGCTCCAGCCCTCTATACACCAACTTACTGCTTGCCTGGAGAAAAGCCTCCACCATATGCACCATAGAACAAAGAATTGATTTTAAGTAGCTCGTAGGCTTTTATTTTGTTTTGAGGAAACCTCTGGAAACTGTGCTGTGGCACTAGACTTCCCAAAGGAACCCACCACAGAGTGTGGGTTTAGCTGAAGAGCAGGGCACAATCTGGAGATGTAAAGCAAAACACCAGGGGAGCAACCAGTCACCTGCAGTCAAATGCAGTAGTTCTTTCTGGCTACCATAAGCATGAGCTGTTTCCTTCTTGGTGAGCTGCAGAATAGATGTTCTTCAAGTGGAGATGTGAAGAAAACACTCTGGGTGTGTGTTCTGCTTTCATAGACCAATATAGGAGGGTTCTAGGCAGCCTTGTCTGAGTGGGTAGTGAGGAGCTCTCTGAGTCAATCAGACTTGCTTGTAGTATTTATTGAATAATCCTTTCTGGTGGAAGTGTTGTACCTCTAAAGTGTGGCAGTTTTACAATAAACTCACTGTGTGTATTTATAGTGAACCTAAGGCTCTGTCTATCTGTAAGGACAGGGAAACAAAAGAAGAGAGGAAGACATACCCTACAAAACAGTTCCATCTTTCAAGTTTCAGACAGAAAGGCTAATTTTATGGGGACTGTTTCACCTGAACTTTGTGTCAGTCAAGTCTGCATAGTCAAATGTCCTGTCAACATGCTAAGAGGCAATTTCCAGACATGTATTTTGAGCTGCACTTTAGGGTTCAAATAAATTCCCTTCTAGTCAAAAGAGGATCACAACCAAAACCATCCCCATCTTGTGTAACCTCCACATCAGGCACCACATCATGATCTCCAGAACACAGAATAATCTCAGTACAGGTAATTAAAAACTTGTATGTAAATATTTTATTATCTCATATTTTGCAAATCAGAAAGCAGTGTTTGGTAATAAAAAATAATACAGAATTATTATTTTTCATCTAATCCACACTCATATATTACCAGGTTTTCCACATTACAGATCAAACTGTCTCTTACAGTCTAAAGGTAACATTCACTTCCAGTATATTCTGTACTTTTGACTTCTTTAATATTAGTCTTCTGAACTATTTACAAATATATTACAACCTTTAAACCTCAAAGCAAAGGAGTATTTCAATAATCAATCTGACATAAGGATCAGTAGCTCCTACATAACTTCAGTGTTTAAGAGAAACTATACACGCACTGTGGGAGATCTGAATAATTTATATCTTTTTAAAAAAAAAGCATTGAAAGTTTCTGAGTATAAAACTTTCACCTTGCAGTGGTACCTACTGACCTGCCTCAATGGGAGGACAGGAATGTGAGGTGATGTCACTGTGCTTGTAGAGAGCCTCATCTAAGTCCAGTGCCTTGCTGTTCACCTTGATGGTCATGCAGCCATGGTAGGACGCGGTGACAGGAGTAGAAGTGACAGGAACGTCTGTGGGAAAGGGTAAAAAAACCACATTTCATGGCTGGTTTTAAATGGATACCTGCCCTGTATCATAGAATCACCAAGGCTGGAGGAGACCTCTAAGATCATCAAGTCCAACCATTAACCTGTCACTGCTGGAACCCCTAAACCCTAAACCAGATCCTCCAGTGCCACATTCAGATGCCTCTTCAACACCTCCAGGGATGGTGACTCCACCACCTCCATGGGCAATATCCCAGTGCCTCAACATCCTCACAGGGAAAACAAAACATTTCATATCTAGTCTGAATCTTCCTTGTCTCAGTAGGCTCAGATGACTATCACTTCAGTGAATTCAAGCTCACCTCTTCTCTAGTCCAGGATTTCTACCTCACTCCCACTCTTCCCACCAGAAGGCAAGAGCACAATCCCAGACTTGGGCAAAACACCATCTGCTCTGGTGCAGACAGACCTTTCTCCTAGGCTGAACCTTTCCTCAGCTGCTCTGTGTCTCTGCAAGGCCTCCAGTCCTGAGAAAGCAATGTGCTGCACAGCAGAGAGGCTTCACTCCACTTGCACAGTGTGCTCACACTGCTTTCCCTCCTCTATCTCTGAACCCTCTACTGTGTCATTAGTAGAGCTGTCACACTTTCCTCTAATGCTTTCTCTCTTCAAAATAGCTGCCAGAAGATTACTGAAAGAACTTTATGGTGGGTAAGCACCTCCTATATGCAGCTTCTACCACTTGCTGGACTCATCCTTACCATGGTTGTGCTATGTATCAGCAGAAGGAGGTTGCAGACCTTCATCAGAAAGGTGCTAGAATGCACTAGTGGAGTTGGTCAGACTAATTAGGTGACTTTTTCTATGGAGATCCACTGGTGACATTCTTTTAATCAGTTCACCAGAGGCAGAAAACAGATGGCAAGGAAGACACTAAGAGGAAATTAGTTAATCTTACTACTAACTTCTGTAACATCATATACACACTGACCTGAAATAAACAAAAAACCTCACACAGTAATGTAAGAACATGCAAAATTACATGAACTGTGTCCTCTACCCTTCCCCAAAAGTCATTAGTTTATTTACAGCCTAAAGTTGACCCAATCAAACTGATTGTGCAATGGAAAGCAATGAACTCCTCAAAGATTATTTAACTTCACAGTGATGCCAGTAGCTAAGTAAACCCCTTATCTTTACACCAAAGCAAGGACAACTTGAACAATATGTTGCCCTGTTTACCCAAGATTATATCACATTTAAAGGGTTCTGCCTGGAGTCATAAAGGGCCAAATTTGAAGTTGATGTGATCAAACATAGCTAAGACAGACTCTAGGACCGACTGAGAGAAAGAATATTTGTGAGGGATCTGTAAGTCACAAAGAGATACTCTAACATTTTAGCTTCCTCAGTGAAAGTGCCATTGTTTGGTAGTTGCTTCAACTATTAATTTTAGCTGTTTCCTATTCACAGAATCCCAGAATCAGTTAGGCTGAAAGGGACCACAATGAGTCATCTGGTCCAACCTCCTACTCCAGCAGGGCCACCCCAGAGCACATGGCTCAGGGTTGTGTCCAGATGGGTCTGGAATATCTCCAGTGAGGAAGAATCCACGACCTCTCTGGGCAATCTGTTCAGTGCTCAGTGACTGCACAGCAAAGAAGTTCTTCCTTGTGTTCAGGTGGAACTTCCTGGGCAGCAGTTTTTTTCTGTTCCCTCTTGTTTTCTTGTTTTCCCTCACTGAGCAGAGTCTGATCGTCCTTTTGGCACTTCCCCTTCATGGACTTGAACACATTAATGAGGTACCCAAATACATTAATGAGGTCTCTATTTTCCAAATTTTAGCTGTGAAGTCTGCTTAAAAGAAGGGGCATCCCTGTTGTAATACCTCACATGAATATAAACTAAATTTTGACTCAGCAGAAATTGAATCTGTGGCTTAACAGCTTGAAGACTCACCTAAGGAATCATGCAGATTGCTGCTCCATGTGCCATGGGCTGACTGAAAAACAGTGTGGGCTTTCAGATGGACTTGTAATATATGTCAAGGGAGATTCAGATTGGATGTGAGGAGAAATGTTTTCCCTGTGAGGGTGTTGAGGCACTGGGATATTGCCCAGGGAGGTGGTAGAGTCACCATCCCTGGAGGTGTTGAAGAGGCATCTGGATCTGGTGCTGGAGGACCTGGTTTAGGGGTTCCAGCAGTGACAGGTTAATGGTTGGACTGGATGATCTTAGAAGTCTCCTCCAACCTTGATGATTCCATGATTCCATGATTCTCTATTACCAAAAATAATCTAGGGTTTTTTTTCCTTTATGTTACGGTGGTAAATCAGGTGAAATATCTGATTTCCTGTTATGACTAGGAATGGATCTGTTTGAAATGTGGTCCTGTAAAGATTCACATGTTTAGTTTAAAGGTTCCTTCACCTGGTGGGATGCACCTTGCCTGGAAAAACACCTATGCATCACATAAATTACAGAATTCAGGATTTACCAGAACTAAACAGACCATAGAAAATGTAATAAATTCCTACCTGTTCCCTTTTATCTCTGGAAACTAAATAACATTTCTTCCACATCTGAAATACCAGTTGTAGTTAGGATGGGACAAATTATATATTTGGACCCAGAATTCCTTCTTTATTTGTGGAAAATGGAAAAAAGACATTGAGTGGAATCACTATACTTTGTTGTTTTTCCACCGGGTATGGAAGCACGGACAAACCAAAAAGTGCGTCATGTTTTCAAGATCTGAATGAGCCAAACTCACTTAGATCTGACCATTGGGTACAGTTATTTAACCCAGAGTGATGAATCCAACCAAAGTGATGAAATGTTTACTAATTTGGCAAATGACAAGGTTTCTTGATGCAAGTGCTGAGCTCCTCTCAATGGCAAAAGCAGAGCACTGGCAGAAATTCCTGTTGCTAAGCACAACAGATCAAAGAGGGGAAAGCAGCTAAACCTACAGGAGCCAGCTGGATCTAATCTAAAACTTATCCTAAGCAGCTGTAATTTAGGTGGTATGAGATGAGACACAGTCTTTTTTTGAATTGTAATGTGGAGGGCATGGAAGATGCTGAAGGGACTGGGGCACCTCAGTGATGAGGAAAGGCTGAGGGAGTTGGGGCTGTTCAGTCTCCAGAAGAGACACTGAGAAGGACCTCATGAATGGATTCAAGTCCATGAACGGGAAGTGCCAAGAGGATGATCAGACTCTGCTCAGTGGGGGGAAGCCAAGAAAACAAGAGGGAACAGCAAAAACTGACACCCAGGAAGTTCCACCTGAGCACAAGGAAGAACTTCTTCCCTGTGCAGTCACTGAGCACTGAACAGATTGCCCAGAGAGGTCGTGGATTCTCCCTCACTGGAGATATTCCAGACCCATCTGGACACAATCCTGAGCCATGTGCTCTAGGGTGGCCCTGCTGGAGTAGGGAGGTTGGACCAGATGACCCATTGTGGTCCCTTCCAACCTAACTGATTCTGTGATTCTGTACCTCTAAGATCTCTTGCTTAGCTTTGGCTAATTAAAACCTGTGCTGCACTTAGCACAGTTAATCTAAGCAAACCATTGAGAACCTGGGACAGTGACAATGTTTTCTGAGCTGTTAAAGTCT